GCAGGGGGAGGGTTTTGGGGAATGGGGATTTCGTTGGCTGGGGCAAGTCGGTGGTGGAGGGAGGGGGGGAAGAGGCAGTGGAGAGGGGTAGTAATGAGGTAGACTGATGGGGTGGGGGAAGGTGTGGCAGTGGGGGGAGAGGTGGGGGTATATGTGGGTTGGGATGTTGGTGCGGGAGAGTTCTGGGGGGGTGTCAGCAAGGGCAAGTTGGTGGGTTGGAGGGAGCTGCAGGGAGGGGTGAGGGTTGGGGGGAGCTGGGGTTTGGGAAGTGGATGGGTGGGGGCGTTGGGGACCAGTGTATGGGCGCGGTGGTCAGAGGAGGGGTGGAAGGGGCCGTGGGAGGTGTAGTAGTGAGGTGTTGTGGGGGTGGAGTGAGGAGAGGTGGAGCAGGGTGTAGGATGCGGAAATGTAGGTGGTGCGAATTTGAGGGTGGAGGTGGGGTGGTGGGGGACAGGGGGAGGGCTGTGTGGGGTGGGAAGTTAAGTGGGAGGGTGTATTTGGGGTCTGGTGGCAGGGCGTGCTGGTGGGCGGTGGGGCAGAAGGTGTGGTGCAGAGGGTTAGTAGTGAGGTGGGGTGGGTTGCCTTGGTGCCCAGCATGACGACTCTATATCCGGAGGACCATCCCGGACCCTCAGGGCTGCTGCCACGTCAGAGCAGCTTCCATGAACACTGGCATCTAGCGGCTCCAGGAATCGGCAGCTGAAGTCCTGAGGCACCTGTCCTGAGGTCGCAGAGCCATGGAGGACCAGGCTGAGCCAGGAGACAAGGTGGGGGCGCCAAACCTGGATGTGTCCCCAGGGCTCTCACATACGGGATGGGTCCCCTCAGCTTCCAGACCCAGATCCTCGGGCTTGGCTAGCCCACCACCAGGGCCCCATCATTTCATCCTTTGGGTTCTGCATGGACAGACTGCCCACGCAGCAGGGGAGACCCTTGGGTCCCTGTTGCCCACCTCCCACCATCACCCCTGCAGGCTGCCATTCCCCTGAGCAGTGTCAGCATGCCTCTGGGCACCAGGAGTGTGCAGTGCCCGTTGGAGGAGGCCCAGCAGGAGCTGAGAAAAGCCCAGGGCCTGGAGGGGACACAGCTCTCACCCCAGGCCATGCCAGTCCCACTGGAGAGTGAGTCCCATGCCCATAGCTCCAGCAGCCGTGGGGACGAGGCCGCAGGGGATGCCAGGGCCTCTCTCCAAGATGCGCTGCGCAGGAAGGAGATCCAACTGGTGGCCTTCCTGCTCCTCAAGTACCGCGCCAAGGAGCAGACCACGAAGGTAGAGATGCTGGAGCTGGTCGCCCAGGATCAGCAGGACCCCTTCCCTGACATCTTCAGCCAAGCCTCCAAGGATTTGCAGCTGGTCTTTGGCATGGATGTGAAGGAAGTGGACCCCAGTGGCCACTCCTATGTCCTGGTCCCCACCCTGGGCCTCACCTGGGATGGGGTGACCGAAGAGCAGCGCCTCCCCAAGACTGGCCTCCTGGCGCTGCTCCTGGGCGTGATCCTCCTGTGGGGAGGCTGGGTCCCTGAGGAGGAAGTGTGGCAGTTGCTGAGTGCTGGGAAGGTGTACCCCGGGAGGGAGCACCTCATCTATGGGGAGCCCAGGGAGCTCATCACCGGGGTCTGGGTGCAGGAGCAGTACCTGGAGTACCAGCAGGTGCCCGACAGGGATCCCACTCGCTGTGAGCTGCTCTGGGGCCCCAGGGCCCACGCAGAGGCCAGCAACATGCAGGTCCAGCAGTTTTTGCTCAGGCTCCTGAGCAGTCCCAGGGCCACGTGGGCTGGAGCCTCTGGGCTCCTGCTCTCCCCGACCCCATGGAAGTGGGTCTTTGTTTCCTCTGGCACGTTTTCCCGTTGCTCCTTTTCATAGAAAGGGGGATTAGCTTCAGCATCTGTTTCTGAATGACAACCACCCCCCTGTGTGTGCGTTCTTGAGCCATTTCACCAGTCAGTGCTATGTTGCTGTTTTGTAGACACATAGGGACACCTTCCATCTGCGTTTGTGATCTGGAGCTAGGTCACATGGCATCGGCCTCGCCATTCCCTCAGAAATGTGCTGGAAACTAGCGGTAACATGGATGGTGCCCAGAAATGGAGAAATAAAAGTACGGTTGGTTAATTCTTGCCCCTGATTCCTTCTGGTGTGTCACTTTACAGAACTACAATACATACACATAACTGAACGTGCTTCCTGTATTCAAGAAATGAGGAGAAATGTAAGGCCGGTAGATAAGACCCCTGCTCCCTGGCTCAGGATTCCCAGGCCCTCCCTGGGCCTCTGCTCACTTGTAGGCCCTGTGTTAGCAGTGGGGTAAGGACACCCCAGAACCCTGACTGAGCAAGACTCCGTGACCCCTCTGTCACCCACCCTGCAAAACCAACCGCAGGGCCACGCCTGGGGCCCGGGGGGAGGGGGCCCAGCAAGGGGGCTGTTCCTGTGGGCACCCAGGGCACCAGGACGGAGGGCCCAAAAGAGGGGGTGGCAGGCAGGCAAGGTCAGTCGGCCAGGCAGGCCCCGAGGCTGGCCCCCAGGCCGTGGGGCCTGCCACCCGGGGCTGGGCGCTTTCTCCATGGCTGCAGGGCTGTGCAGAAGCCATGGCAGGCCAAGACCGACATCGCTTTCCCCTCGGGGGGCTGTCCTCGGAGCCCAGTCAGCAGTGCTCTGCGGGAGTCGCGGGGCTGGGGGTCGGGGCCCATGCGGCGGTAGCACACACGGAGGGTCATCTCTGAGACCTCTGCAGCACTGAAGAGCAAACCAGTCTCCTCTCTCAAAGGGCCCTGGGTTCAGCAGGTACCTAATAAGGACCGTCTGACTGGCGCCCACAGGCCCCAGGGTGGAATTCTGGGACTGAGGAAGCTTGGTCGAGGTCGAGGGAGGCTGAGACTACATACCGCCTTGCTTCAACTAGACGGAAGACAGCGCCGTGGACAGACACACTTCCTCTTGGGAGGACGAGAGGAGCCTGATGTCCTGGATTCTCAACCCCATCGGACATTCGGTGACTCTGGAAACAAAGAGCATCAGCCAGAGGCCCTGCAGAAGACTTAGGCCATCAGCGGGCCTAAACCAACTCAAACCAATTCCTGCTGTCTGCGGAACGTGGGGCTGTGGTTTCCCAGGGCGTCCCCTTACTCTCTCGTTTCCCTCCTGCCAAACGGTCGAATCCAGCAGTGGAATGGACTTGCGTGGTGAGGAATCCCCATCACAGAGGTGGCAGGTCCTGCAGCCATGACAGGCACTCAGGAGTGGCCCAAAGGTAGCCCCTCAGCCATGGGGTGCTGCGTGATTTGCACACTGAGAAACCTGGGAGGCTCAGCAGCAAGGCCTACCAGAGGCCTGAAGGAACTCATCTGGGTGGAAGGCAGGGGACAGCCAACTAAGGGGAACTCATCTGCCCAGAGAGTGACGGGCGCCTGGGCCCCTTCAGGCTGACTGTGGGCCGGCTGGCCTGCTGCCACGTCCTCTTTGAGGACCGGCACAGTGGCCTCGGCTGCCGTCCCAAGGATGGCTGGAGGAGCAGAACCGCTCCTGGCCAGGGCGGGCAGATGGTCTGGCTCTCATGTGCTTGGCGGCTCCTGGCTGTCCTCCTTAGAGGAGGGAAGGCCATCTTGCAGCTGGCTGGCTGGAGGTGCTGGGGTGCGGGGGTAACTCCCAGGGCTTCCTGCTGCCTCACCATCTGCCTTAATGAGGATTTCACACCCACTCTCCTCTTCGTCTGCACAAGGTGAGGGCAGTCTTTCTGAAACACAGGATGCTGTAGAACTATACCTGAGGTTCAAGATGTAAAGAGAAAAAGAAGGCCCCATCACAAAGGAGCTGGTTGAAACCAGCAACCACCAGACAGACTCCCATGTCACTGTCTCCAGTGGTCCTGAGGCCCCTGCCACTGTCTCCAGCAGTCCCGAGGCCTCTTGGGTGAAGGGCACACCCCCAACCAGGAGCTGGGTGACCGCTTTTATGGCCTCAAGACTCTCTAACCTAGGGATCACGACTCACCCTTGAAAAATGGCTCCAACTGGCCCATTAGGGCGTAAGCGCACACATGCGGTGAGGGGACTAGGCGTTTGTAGACCGGAAGTGAGGAAGATGCGGCAGCTCTCTGAGGGGTGCCAGCTGACAACCGAATCGCCCCCTTGCTGGCAGTCACAGGCTCTTAGCCTCCAGGGGTCCCCGACCTTGGGAGGCGCAGTGTTTATTCCACCCTCCTTGGGCTTCAAAAAGTGCTCTGGGGCTAGCGCTGCCACGAGAGCAGCCAGAGGATGCTGCGCTTTCACAGGACGGGGCCTACATGCCCACCAGAGATTCAGTTGGAAGTTGTGGGAGTGATGGGTCACACAAACCCCCGGTGACACCTGTCCCTGAGCAGAAGGACGTGAAGATATGGGACTTTCAACAGTATCCCTGCAACCTGGCCGAGTCTCACTGAGCTCTCAGTGACGTGCAGCACCACGTGTAAGGCGTACAGAGCACTGACCGGGCTTCAGTGTGCTGTGAGGGGATCACCACGGCCTAAGTGCAGCTGACATCCCTCTTCTCACATAGATACCCAAAAAGGAAAAGAAAAGGGGAAAAAAGGCTTTTCTCCTTGTGATGTGATGTTAGGATCTACTCTGAAATATGCCACACAGCAGTGCTCCCTCCGGAGTCCCGTTGTACATGAAATGAACCCCCCACCCCTGATGGAGCGCCCCCTTAGGCTTGGCACCCTCTGAGCACTGTCCCCGTACCAGCTCCTGGCTGCCATCAGCACCTCCTGACACACAGGTACCTGGTTCCCTGCTTCCCCCCACCCCCAACCCCAGACACAGGCCTGGGACTCCACCCCCCACCCCACCCCACCCTGCCAGAGCCCTGTGGCTCAGGTCCTGGGAGGTCTGTCCGCCCCTACCTTGCTCCGGATGTAGACAGATCTCCTGTCCATGAAAAATTTCGGAAGGCAGATGGGATGTGTGAAGTTCCTTATGCACTTTTGCTGAATCCATAGAGGTTAAGCTGGTGGGTGAAACTCTTCATACAGTCTGTTTCAAACACCCTGTGCCAGCTGTCCCACTCCAAAATCTCCTTCTGGAAGTTTCTCATAGATGCCTATACAGGTCCCCTCATTGTCCCACCAAATGGACGAACGTGAGAACATGAGACTGAAGCGTGGCTGGCAGCACCTCTTCATGACAGTACAGTGCAGGATGTCACATAGGGGCTCAGGTTGCGTGGGGCTAGCATCAAAACACAGCTATCAAGTGACCTCAGAAAGGGTCAGGATACCCGGTCCACCTGTCAGCTCGCCGACATCCTGGCCATTGAGCTGGGCAAGGTGACCCTCGTATATGGGTTTAACGTAACACGCCAAGTGCAAGCATTGGGTGCAAACCACCAGCTGTCTTCTCCTCCACCTCCTGGGGCCCAGCCAACCCACACTGGTGTCCTGATGGAAGGTCGTAGCGCCTTTGAGTCCATTGGCTTTGAGGGCCCTGAACGAGACAGACGTTTTTAAGCAAAGTCCAGGACGGGTGTCCACGGTCAAGGGCAGAGCCACATCATCCTTTTAACCCTTTCCTGGCCAGAGCAGTGACTGCGCCCTCAGACACCATCCACCTGGTGCCACTGGTCACCAGAAGGCACATGGCAGGTTGATGCTTTGGGAGTGGGTCAGCTAAGTGTCCCATCGCCACCTGGCAGATGGAGGAAGAGGAGGCGGCCTACCTTCCTGCCTCTCCTCAGCATGCACATGCCGTCCCCCATGTCCACTGGGCAGATTGTCAGGCATGCCATCGGCCTCTCACATAGCTTACTCTCCTTGACCGACGTCTGTGGGGATGCCCATCCTGGTTGGTGCCCAGGCTTTGAGCTCTGCAATCCTTCTTTGGGCTGTGGTGCTGGGACATTCAGTAAGAGGCGGCCAGGCAGGGCAGCCTCTCTAGCACATTCTCTCCACATACAGGGCCACCCCCACTGACGCCCCCACCCACACACACATTCAATGATTCTAGGCGTGGGGCTCAGTGGTGTTCCAGAGATTGCCATGCAGCAGATATGCCTCCAAACTCGAGGCGTTGTCAGCCCAGGGCCCAGGCACTCTGGCCCAGTGCATGGGAGCAAGGGCTCTGCAGGCAGTGTGTGATGCCATTGCCCAGCTGCCTGACTTTGGGGCCACCACGTAACCTCTCTCAGCCTCTGTGTCCTCACAGGAGCCACAGCAGTAGCATCTCCTCATGGGGGCCTGAGGGTTCACTGGGTTGTGCAGCAGGTAGTAAGGCACCTGACACTTGAGTCATAGCTATTGTGGTTACTGAAAAGGGCGGTTTTGTCCAACGGCACGTCTCAAATCTAATGAGCTTAAGAAGTGATCCATCTGTGGCCGTGGGCTACCCACAGCAAGCCATTCTGTCACCCACAGGTGACAGACTTGTCAACTGCTGCCAACCATGGGCTGAAATGCCACCTCCACCGAGCGCCTGCTCAAACACAGAGGCAGCTAGGGTGAGCTAGACAGAAACCATAGAAGGTTTTATTTCAAAGTAAGCCATACTCAGCCAGCTGCTGGTGTGACCAAGCAATGGCCCAGGACTGCTCAGAAACTGATTTTGGTTTCCGACTGCCCTGCCTTGGAACCCGAGAACACTCTCCTAAGGCTCCCAAGCCGTGACAACTGTGGCATGGCATTCCCCAGCCAAGGGGAGCACCTCCACGACACCTCTTTCCCACTGCATACCATGTGTTCAGGCTGTACCTAGACTCATTAGAAGTATCCAAGCACCCCCATATGCCTCAGCCACTTGTGGCAGGCAGCTAGAGGTGCCTTTTCATGGCTGAAAATAGTTTCGGTGTCCAGGGCCAATTTCTAAGGAAGACCCGCACAGTGCGCATGAAGCAGTTTATTGAACAGCTGACGGGAGCAAAAATAGTAGAGTGAGTTACATTTGTTACACACCAAGTAGGAATGGCTGCATCGTCCCGATCGCCCCTCATCTCCCCCGAGCAGAGCAGGCTTGCTGGGAGCTGGTGGTCGTGTATGCGTTAGACACCAGTTGAGCCTGGTTTAGACACGTTAGCACTGCCTGCTTTAAACCCACCATTGCTCTCCTGGGTGAGAACGTCAGTGCTCCTCTGACACTCCTTTAAAAATGACCTCGTGTTCCTACGCAGAACAGCCTTATCCTGTAAGCTCTGCTTTCTTCCCTCTGACTCACGCATGGCTGTACCACCAGTTCATGGAGCAACTCCCTCCTATGTAACGGCAGAGGCCCAGCTGGAAGTGGTGTTGACGGGGACAGACAAAAGCCTCAGATGTTTGCATATACATGACTCTGCTGGCCATTTCCAGTCTTTGCACCTGCCTCCAGTATTCCAGTTTCAAGTTGTGCTCTAGTTTTCTGGCAAAGCCAATTTCCCCAGGATGCTAGAAAAGCACACAAACCATTTGTTGCTAATCGTGGCTGTTTCAGCAGGAGCAACTCCTATGCACATGGAGAAATTCAAGGGGGAAATGGCAGTGACACCTGCGTCTACTTCTGCTAGAGAAGACGTATGTCTACAATACAAGCTTGTAAAAAAATACTTTAACAGAATATACTGCACAGAACTAGGATTTAACACGGCCTATTACAAGGCTAAAATATTTGTATAAATACTATACAGGCACGGAGTCACTCCTTGAGAAAGGGCTCACGGATGGGGCCACTGAAGACTACTGTCGGCATGCCCAAAGAGAAACTACTTCCACGGCGGGGACACGGACAGGAATGAGGGTGTGGATGCACATGGGGTACCAGAGGGGCAGATGGGTAGTTTCTACCCACTACACCACAGTAGGAGAAACTGAGCTATGTGGGGAGACGTTTTCAAGTAACACCTTCGATGGGAACTTCAGCACTTGGAGAACCAGCCACGCAGAAGTCCCTTCTCTTGCCTGCTCAGCCCTCCCACGGGTCCGAGCCAGCTGCTCAGGTGCCCCCCTAGAGGGAGCTGGCTTCCCTCTCACACACATGCTCCTTTCAGCACATCCACATGCTCTGACGCACACCCCACACCACACTGCCTTCTGGTCACCTGCCACCTGAGTGTCCTGTCATGGTGAGTCACTGGGAGGCACTGAATGCAAACAAGACACGAGAGGGAGGAAGCCGGAGACCCAGCGCCAATTCCAGTCCTGGGTGGGGCGAACAAACAGGCAAAGGTAGAAGAGAATTTGTGTCCCGGCCTTCTACGCTCTGTCCCGGGAAGTGGCATCTAATCTGGCATTTCAATATTTAGTTTGGGAGGCGGGAGGACATACTTGCCAGGGCTCTGAGTGATAACCACCCTGGTCTTCTTCCGAAACATAGGAGCAATTTTAGGAGGTTCTGGCACTGGGGTTTCCTCAGTTTCCTCATTATCTTCATGATGGAGGTCATAAGAAATATTTCCGTATTCTCTCAAAAATGGGAAGATTTCAAGCAGAAACTGACAGAAATCTTTGCGAATACCAAACCACCCTGAAAAAGAAGAATGTACTTTTTCAAACAATAGCTTCCACTGAATTTCATGTTACTTTTCTTCCCCAAATGAAAAATTTTACTTGTACGATGTAAAGTACAATGTGAGGCCTAGCTACCCACTGAGGGCAAGAAGACCTGAAGCTCTGTGGTTCTTCAGGCCGGTTCCTGGATTGGCCTTGTCAGGGATGTGATCCCTGGTCCCAGCCAGACCTCTGAATCAAACTGTGGGTGGGGTGGGGCGCTCAGTTGGCACAGGGCCTCTTGGGGATTCAATGGGTGCTCCAGAGCTTGAGAACTATGGCTCCAGTGAGTCTCAGATACCTGTGGTGCCTAGACTACGTTGATACCTTGTAGTCTTCCCTGCCCAGGATAAACTCATGCATGACAGAGAACGTCATCCAAGAAAAAGATTTCTTTCACCCTGTGGAATCCAGGGGGCTGGCAGGTATGTGTTGGTCAAGGCCAGGAGGCCACCTGAGCTCCTGAGGCCTCCTCAAAGCTACTTCCCCAAGGCCCACTCTTCCTGTCTGGGTGCCACAGGAACAACAGACAGCTCAGTGCTGGCTCTTCCGGGGCACAATCCCTGCGCCATGGCTTCCAGAAAGCAACACGCAAAGGAGCAGTCTAGGGGGGAAGGGAGCCTCGCGAAGGATCACTCCAGAGCTGGGTGTGGGTGGGTGACGGCGAGTTTCATCCAATTCTCAGGAGCCCCTGGGAAGGAGGCATCTCGATCCCCATGTCACGGCAGAGGGGACAGGGCTGAGAGAGGCCACCTGCCCCCATCAGTCCTACCGCAAATAGCAGAGGCAGGGCAGGGCAAGCAAGGTTGACAGCACATCCTCCGTTTGGAAGACCCCACACCTTTCTCAGCCCGTTTTCCCACACAAACTCCTTCACTGGGGCCCTTCGGCTCCTCATTTCATAGGCTGGGGCCACACGTATTCCCACCCACACCCACAGGCTGAGGGCTTCTGAAATGCTGAGTACGTACAGTGGTTTCCTCCCTTCTGTCCAAATGTGGTTGCCATCAGAGTGATCAAGGAAAGCCAAAGGGGGACAAATATTGGGATACAAGAGAACGCATTGTGGCCATCCAGTTTGTGAACCAGCAGTATCTGAAGAAAGAGAAATAGTGGCGGCTCCATTAATGCTGCATCTGAAAACAATGTCTGAGGCCAGTCCGCCCCCCTCGTCAGGCTTCACAAGGGGGAAAGTCAGCCCCATAGGAGAGCAATGAAACCCCCTATTCCAGGGAAAAGGGTGACAATAGCTTTCATATCTGTCTCTAGGACTAAGCAAAATTCGTCCACCTGGGAAGTTTCCTACGCCAGGATTGTTGTGGGAAACTCTTCCTGGTGTTGGTTCTAAGGAGCCCACAGTGCCCATTCTGTAACTCTCCACAGAACTCAAATACGAAAACATGACATCCAACTTCCTCTTTCTCCAAGGAGACAAATCGATACATACAGATGCACACATGTACACATCCATACATCATGGCTGGAAAGGTGCACTTCCTGATGGGCCCCAAGCCCCCAAAAGAAGGGACACTCCCATCCCACTGTCACACTTTCTTGGTGGGCGGGCTCCCCAGGCGCTGTCAGAGGGGAGGGTGGGCTTCAGAGCCTCAGGAGTTCTGCCGCCAACAGCTTACCTCAAAAGTAAGCAGAGGCACAACAATGGTCATCCAGCTCAGTGCCATCGTTATGTGTGTCCTTCGCTGCTCTGCAATCACGTCCATGGAGCGCAGGAACAGGACAGACCACACAATGTAATAGAGGACCACCAAGCACAGAAAGGACATGAGAATCCATAAGGGGACACACACAACCTGAGGGAAGCACAGAAGAAGAATCTTTAGTCTGGGTCCCAGTATCTCAAAGGAGGCCCAGCTAAGCCCATGCAGGATCTCTGTAGTTAGGACAGTGTGAGTGCGGACGGGGACAGCCCTTGGTCCGGGGCTGCTGTGAGGACAGCAAGGGGATGAGGACACAGCGTGTTCACTGTAGGACATGCTGCCGGCCAGGAGGTACCCTGTTGTGGGTCACTCTTGGCGTGAAGAGCCCTGCGGCTGCTTTGCCTGAGGCTTGATCTCACTCAGCCTGCACTTTGCCCCACTGGCTTTGCCCCGTCACCCACCCCCAAAACAGGGAAGCGCTGCCACCCTGTGCACATAGCTCCATCTCACCCTGCCACACCTTCTGCACAGGCCATTTCTCCAGTCTCCCAGGAGCACTTTGGCCACATTCTCCTTGGAAACTTCAGCTGCCCAGGCTGCATAGGCCCCTGCTAACTTGCACACTGATGCTGGGAGGACTCTGCTCCCTGGTCCCTGTCCCTCACCCACGTGGGTTCTGCCTGCCACTCAAGCATCAGCAAACCCTTGTCTCGCCCCACACAAGCATGTAGGCTAAGTCCTGGGGCCTCACCAGGGACTCTGCATGATCTTTTCTCCCTCCTGCACTGCCCCCTTGGATATGCCCATCACCCTTTGGTCTTGCTTTATCAAACGGTAACATTGGCTGTTTTCTTTTGATGTATAGTTGTGTGACTTTTCATGTATGCACAGGTAGATCTGCAAAGCCCCACACAGGACACAGGACAACTCCGTCACCCCGTAAGATTCCCTCATGCTGCCCCCTCACCATATCACCCCACCTCCAACAATCACTCATCTGGACTCTCTCAGTGCACTTGTCTTTCCAAGAGTGTGATGTAGATGGAATCATACAGCATGTCACCTGAGACTGCCTTCTCTCACTCGGCAGAATGCCTCTGAGATTCATCGATGTGGTTACATGTACCAAGCACCAATCCTTTCTTTGGCTGAGTGGTGTTCCACTGGATAGAGGCACCACAAACTGCTTACCCAGTTAGCAGCAAAGGGACATTTGGGTGTTCTCCTGCTTTGGGCTACCACAAGTAAAGCTGCTATAAACACCTATGCAGACTTTTCTCTGGCTGTATGCTTTCATTTCTCTAGGGGAAATACCCAGATTAGCACTGCTAGGTCATATAGTAACTCCATGTTTCACTTTATAGGAAATCACCAAACCATTTCCCAGAGTGTCTATCCAACTTGGCGCTCCCACCAGGGATGCACAAGTGTCCCATTCCCTGTGCATCCTCCCCAGCACTCGGTACTGTGCTTTTATTTTATCTGCCATTCTGATGAGTGTGCTGATACCTCATCCTGGTTTCCACTTGCCTTCCAGCACTGGTAATGACGTCCTTCTCATGTGTGTATATCTGCTTTGTGGATTCTCCGTTCACGTCTTTTGTCAATTTTAAAATTAGGTTGTTTGGTTTTTCAGTTTTGAGAGCTCTTTAGGGGTTGTGGATGTGGACACAAGTCCTTGGTCAAAGATGTGCTTTGCGAATATTTTCTACTAGTCTCAGGCCTGTCTTTTCAGTAATTTCATTTCGGTTTTGAGCTTCTTTTAAGGACCATGTTGTTGGTGTCATTTCCCAGAACTCGTCACCAAACCATACATCCCAAAGATTTTCTCCCATGTTTTCTTCTAATACTTGGTTTCGCATTTACTTTTATACCTATGCCTCGGGTTGCTGTGCAATTTTTTTAATCCTCCTGAGGACCTCGGAGCTCCTGATTGTAGGCTTTGTTGCAGAGTCTAAGCACAGCCCTTTCCTGTGTACCCCCTCCTAAGGCACTTCTGTGATCAGACTCTCATTTAGTGGCATGCCCCTTGTGGGTGTAATGTTGGTGATCGTTACAGCCTTGCTTGGTCTCTTTTCATCATGGGAAATGTGCAACCGGACTGCTTGCTTTATCTGCTGGGACCCCCGCATGGGACTGGGACTGGAAAAGCCCCTCTGTTCACCTTTAACAGAAAACATTCATAATACCTTATTTTTTTTTTCTGATTGTACCTTATACTAAAATTTTTGTCTTACTCACATTTGTTCCCTCCATATCACAACAGGGAGTTTTGAACCCAATTACTGTTCTCTCCAGATACAGCACCCTGAATATGTAGGATGGGTGCCTGAAAAATATTTATTATTATGAATGTTTTATCAAAGACTTCTGGCAAAAGTGATGAGGTTTGTCTTTACTCATCATGGAGCCGATTACTTTTATAATAACAACAAAAAAGTTTACTTAAGGATTTAAAAAGTTACATACAAGCCAGGGCCAGTGGATGATCCTGTCCAGTCTTAGGGCAATGAATATAAACTGAAGAATGTTGACAGAACACAGGATTTCTAACTAAAAATGAAGAGAAGAATCAGTTAAAGTAAAAGTTATATTCAACATTGCAATTATTTGGTTAATATATTAAAAGGCAATGCAAATTAGAATATAGTAAAAGTTTTATTAAGTCACACTGGGACCCCCCAAATTTCAGCACCAGAGGAGTGAAACAGAGCTGTGCCAAGGAGAAACCTGCCCCAGCCTCCTGCCTTTTCCCCTCTGCTCAGCGGTGCCCTGCCCGTTAGGCTCACCTAGGCAATGCTCTTGTTTCCGGGCTCGCCAAGAACAAAGGCACAACACAGTGGACTCCCCAGGCTTCCTTCCTGCCCCTATCCACAAACACCTTTATTCCTAATCGTCCCTATACTTTCTTCTTATACCCAACCCAGGACTTGGTCCTGCATCCCACCCTTTCCTTTCCGGCTCCTCAAGGCCCTGTCACATCAAAACATCAATTACAGATTCTCGACTGCATCTTGAACCCTATCTTTCCCACTGATCTTCCCAGAAGCAGAAAATTCAACTTAAAGACAAAACAACACAAGACCAAATGATCTCCCATCCCGTGTCCCCTCCTAGCCCTAGCTCTGTCTTTCCATCACTACCAAGCTGTATCATGGATACTTAAGCGCCTACGGCCTCCCCTGCCACTCCAAGCTCCGTGTGCTGCGATCAGCCTTCACCCACATGGCCACCAGGAACTGCTTTTATCAAGGCTGCTGGTCGCCTCTGGCATGTCTGTGCGGCACCTGTACTGCTGCCCAGTCCCACTCCTTCTAGGCTCCCAGTGTGCTCCTGCCCTCCTCTGGTGCTCTGACACTCCCTTTTCAGTCTCGTTTTCTTCTCCTTAAATGGAGATACTCATCGGAGCCATACACTCAGTCTCCTCTCCCCCCAACAGAGACATACACACCTGGCATGCATTGCCTCCCATTAGTTGGTTCCCAAATCTCTGTCTCCGACCCAGCTGTGGCCCACACCCAGCTCTTCAGAGGTGCCTCAGACAATGCCAGTCCTAATTTGAGTTCATTACCCCCACAACACACACCCTTTTACGCCTTTACCCTGCCACTATCCCCCAGCCTCCTGTCTCACTGTGAGGTACCATAATGCCTCAGCTACCCAAACCCTGACGCTAGGAAGTAGCTTCTACTCCTTTGCCCAGCACGTTCGGCCACCATGTCCTGCCTTCTCTACCATCCAGACCTCTCTTGAATCTCCTTGCCCACTCTCCACTGCCATCTCAGGCCCTCCTCATCACCAGCCAACTAAGCACTCCCAGTGGCCTCCAGTCTGCAAAGTCCTCTGCTCCCAAATGCCCTCCAGGCTTCCTTCAGGTCACACTGTGTGCTGCTCCTGAATGGCTCACCAGTGCCCCAGCAATGAAAATCCTATGCAGCCGTCTGATCTGGCTCAGTTTCCCTAAATTCTCAGTTCACAGGGCATTTAGTGACTCTGCAATTCTTTCAAAGGCCTCTGGGCCAAAAGAAATACCTAACAGTTCCACTGATTTAAGTAACGAGATCCAAACTTAAAAATAACTTACATAAATCAAAATAATAATATTATTGTTATTCCAATCTTAAATAAACATAGCTAATTCCTAAGGGGACGCATGTGCTTGCTGGGTACTACACCATTTCTCAGGGTGCATCTACTCTCATTATATTTTCCCCATACAGCTTATTGCACAGTGTTATCTTCCCACCACGGTAACTGCCCACAACACAGCTTCTACAACATCACTGAAAGGAATGTAGTGTGACTAATAACAAAACCGTAAGCTCCTTGGAGTTAGTTCACACGATGTCCCCATATATATCAGGTATTACTGCTGTTCACTCAAAATGTCCAGTACCCCGTGGTGCCCCAGGAGTTCCCTATAGTGCCCTGGGGCAGCTCAGCACAAGCTCTAAGGACTGAGTGTCTGGACCCACAGCCCAATCCCTCTACCACAGCCTCCCTTTCCCCCAACTCCCACAATCCCCTCCTTTCTACTTTATGCTTCAGGCATTTTTCTTGTGGTAAAATACACGTAACAGAAAACTTACCATCCTGCCATCTCTAATTGCTCATGTCAGTGGCATCAAGTACATTCAATATAGCTGGTGCAGCCACCATCACCATCCACCTCCAGGACCCTCTGCATCTTGCAAAACCCTGCTCCACTCACACCTGAGCCGCCATAGTTGACTCAACATGACAGATTTTATCCTGCCTCTATGCCTTTGTATTACTCCCTCTGTCTGACCATTCCATTCCTTTCCCTACCTGCACAGGACATCCTGGCAAACCCTGGCTCTTCCTTCACACCTCTGTGTAGGCCTAGCCCCAGTCACTGCCCAGCAAGTGCTGGAGCTCCTCTTCCTGGGGCACAGGAACCAAGAGGGAGCTCAACTCATGGCACAATGCTTCTTGTCATAGGTAGGAATGCCAAGGATGTGACCCTATGAACGACTGACTTTCTATAGCTCTGCATTAGGAAAATATGGCTTCCTGCCCTATGCAGCCCTAGCTGTTGTATGTGCTTTCCCTTCCCAAGAAGCAAAGTGCCAAATCTTTACGGTTGTCTTCAACTTCCTCCTCAGCTTCCTCCTCAGCTTCTGTCCAGCCATACTTTCCAACCCAGGCAATGCTGCTCCCCGCAGGAAGAGGCTAAGAATCGTGCAGGAGCACCACTGTATGTCACAAAGATTTGAGTGGGACGCCCCTTCACTAGCATTTAGTGGGTGGAGGTCAGGCTTAAGTGTCCTGCAATGCACAAGACAGCCCTGTTCAACTAGACATTTCCTATTCAAAAGGCCAATAGCATCTTCCCCTTACCCACTGAGAAGTGCTGAGCCAAATATGTAATATCTAGAATGTTTGAGCTCAGTGATTTTGCAAATGAGCTTCTGCAAATGATTTTTAAAGCTTAGTTTTACTTCATTTGCTCAGGTAATAGAGAAAACATGCAAAGCAGCGGAAGTGAAAGGGAAGGCTGTCTGGGTGGTAGAGATGCCCCTAAACAGAACAGGGAGCACAGACTCTGGGGAAGCCGTACGAGTCTGGAGCTAGTGCGGAAATCCGAGGTTAGAAATGTGAACTCAGGAGGCGACAGCTCACAAGCAGCAATAGAGACAGGAAGTGTCAACACCACCATTCATAGGCAGCACACACAGTGAGGATAGAAAACACCAAGGCTAGAAACTGAAGAAAACAGCAATGGTGCTGGAGACAGAGGCGGGCAGACGGGGGAAAAGGACCAGGAGTGTCAGGAGGTACAGAGTAGCCAGGAAAGAGGGGGCCTGGAGAGGCTGGACTCAGCCACAGGGCACTCACTCAGTGCCAGTCCCCAGGGTGTGCAGCAGCTAGGCAGGGAGCACAGAGTCAGCACATCACTGGGTCAGGGAGCCTTTCTGTGATAACAACCAGAGGCTGAGAGGGCTTTGCTGCTGTCCTTTTGTTTTCCCTTTCAGATGAGAGATGGAAGTTACTAGAGAGTATGTGCATTAGTTCAGGAGCAAATGCTCAGAGGATGCAGAAGTGGAGAGGGTCTGGGGCAAGCATGTGGCTGACCTGCCCAGGACAGGCAAAGGGCCCCAGTGACTGCTAGAGGAAGGGGCGGGAAGGAATGCCATGCAGACAGGCAGCTACCGGCTACATGGGGGCAAAGAGGGGCTAGCTCGGTGCTTCCAATCATGCTCCCATCCTCCTCCTCCAGAGGAGTCTTCTCACACATCTTTTTCTGAATCACAGTCCCTCCTGACTTCTGCATACCTCCGGTAAGGGCGGGGCGGGGCACGAAGTGACTGACTGTGGAAGGCTTGGGGAAGTGCGCGGAGGGGAAGTGGGCCCTTAGGGCGACTATCCGCCCAGAGTCACTGGGGCCTAGCAGCCATTCCCACCTGTGCGCTTCGCACCCCCTGGCCCTGCGCCAGAGGTGAGGGATTGCTCTCCTGGTCAAGGCCAAGCCCTTCCTGGTGCTCAGGGTCCTGTTCACTCTGGTTCCCATAGGAACTTGCTCCCTCACCCTCCCTGTCTACAGTGCCTTCCTCTCAAGCTTCCCATACGATGAGCAACTCCCCAGCTCCTATGCTGCCTCCAGCCCAACTGCGGGCTCCTTCCTCTACTTGAACCTGCACAGCTCAAACCAAACATCCCAGCATCTGTCCCCCACTCCACCTGTCTGTCTAGGCTGGGGGCCCTCAGCTTCTACGTGGTTTGGTGCCCAGGCTTTGGAGTCACGCTGGCTGAAAGGGGCTACTGGCCCTGCCTTCCAGGAGTGGACAGGAACACATTACTTTCTGGAAAACAGGGACGGCGACTACACCTACTTTTCAGGATGGTTGTGAATCTTTAATAAGATGCCAGTGTATGTGAAGTGCCTAGCCAAATGCCTGGCATGTGCTACGTGTTCAATAAATGTGATCTGCAATTGTTTGCATCACTAGTATTACTATTGCCAGTACTGTCTTTTTTTAATTCATCTATGCATCCCCTTTATCTAAGCAAAAAAGGGCTTAAAGCTAGTCAGTGAGCAGCTGAAGTGCTAGATCTGGGGTCTGAGGTGGTGTGGGGGTTAGTTTTCTGTGTCAGTTTGGCTGGGCTATAAAGTAGCCAGTCATCGAATCAAGCACTGATTCAGGCGTCGTCTTTAAGTAAAGGAGGTCATCCTTGACAACATGGGTGGGACTCATCCAATCAGTTCAAAGGCCTTAAGAGCAAAAAATGAGGTTTCCTGGAGAAGAAATTCTGCCTCAGGACTGCAACATCAGCTCCTGCCTGCCGGCCTGCCCTAGGGATTTCAGACCTTCCAGCCCCCATGATTGCACAAGCCAGCTCCGCTACAATAAACTTCTCCCACCATCCTATCAGTCTGTTCCTCGCGAGAAGGCTAGTACAGGTGGGTAAGAAAAGACACGGAGCCGGCAGAAGCCTGACGGCCTGGGTACAAAGCCCCTGTTCTTGGTCAAGGAAGAGAAACATGATTATTGCCATTATGTTTTGTCCCCTGATACACCATGATCTAGAGTTAATGGTCAATCTAACAAAGGGCAAGAAATCTACAATACCATAACTGACCAAAAGATTTTACTTTTTACAACATTCTTAAATATATGAACTCTCACCTCCAGTGACCTGTCATGTCGAAAGCCCCAAACACAAGCTGCAACTGAAACCGGGGAGACAAAGAAGAGCGGCATGAAGACCAGCAGCCAGAAGTGGCTTCCTCTCTCGATCCTGTCACAGACCAAGACTTCGAACATCAACAGGAGCAAGTGGATGCCCACTGCGATTAACATGGCTTTAAACTCCACACATGTTTCTCCTTCTGCTCTAAAAAGGGACATGGACAAGGAAGAAGACACATTCAGTTCCGAATTTCCATGCTAAGCAAGCAGTCCAGGACAAATACCAACTTCTGTTGATATGACGAACTACATTTGTAAATTTGACAAAAAGTGAAGGAAAATCAGGTAGAAAGGTAACCTGAATCTTTCATAGACAAGCTTTCAAATATCAAAGAACTGTTACATGACAACACATGAACATTACAACCAAACCAGACTTAAAGTGTTAAGTGTATAAGGATATTCTCAGAGGTAATAGCCAGTAACTGTTTCCCTGACGGCATATAAACACTTTTGCTCATAACTTTAAATTCAACTACTTCCACAATTATTCAAGCTGGTTGCATCTACTGCTAAAAACTGACAAGCATCCCTTAAGTCTCATCATCCTCATCTCCTAATGGATTAAAGACCATGTAAATCACATTCCATGCACTACTATAATTCTAGCTTTATGAATAAGCATGGGTTATACTTCAAGAATATATGGCAACTATTGTCAGGTGCTCTTTCCTTTCTTTTCCATTAGGATGAATTAACGCCTGCAGATCAAAGAGCAGTTAAAATTGTTCTTAAACTAAATCAGTTTAATTAGCTGTTTAGGTATCATAAGCATGAACTTAATAGATCAGCAACTGAAAAATAACAAGGCTACTATCAGGAAAATATTTAAAAATGCATTTGGAAGGCCTGCGATGTTTCATTCAAATAAAGATGAACACATATGATGTATCCTTTTGCTGACAAATACACCTGAGTTTAGGGCACACTCCTCATCTTCCTAGTGAAGGTTTTGAATAGTCCCCCAAGCTCAATTCTGCCCCACCACCCCGTTTCCTTTCTGAAGTTCCAGTCTCTGCGAGGGAGAGAGGAGAGAATCTCAGAGGCCCCAGCAGCACCAGCCTGCACAGTGGAGTGAGCCAACTCCAATATCATGGACCAGCTGAGGCATCCAAGAAGAAAGGCACAGAGGAGTTGAAGGTCATGTTGCCCCCCGCTACCTGGCCCCCGAAGGCTCTGCTCTCCTTCAGAGCATCTGGGCTTCATCTTTCCCTGTCTCAGAGACTCACTGGCAAGCTACCTCCCCCACACTGCTAAGAGTCCTAAGACCCAGGACTAGGAGATTGGGAAAGGGGAACCCCAGTTCCAGGGCTGAAACAGAAGGGCATATCCCTGAAGACCAGAAATAAAACTCTGGTTTGTAAAATTGCTCCTACAAACATGACAGTTTTATACTTCCTAGTCCAGTGTGGTATAACAGTTCTGTATTTTGGATGCCTTTTGGATTACACAGGCTTTTGTGGGCTGTCTAGGAACTTAAGCACCCAAAAGAACACTGGTTTTTTTTGGGGGGGGTGGGGGTGGAATGCCTATCAAATACCTGATTTTTAAAAACTCAGACCAGAACTCAGTTTGCCTATATTATAGTTTTTATAAAACCCCAGCTAGGTAGAAATGAAAACAGTTCTTACTTTATCAAAAGTCAAAAACAAGATATCACTGCCTCAGGATAGAGACCAGTGGGTTTTATAACGCACTATTACCGATACTGGGGATTTCGTGCCCAGACTCCAGTTCCAACCGAGGCTCCAACAATGACCATTAACTTCCACAGCCATATTGGAGCAAAAACAGCCCAGTAACTCCACTGAATGATGCCATCCAGACGAAGGGCCAGTAGCACAGAGAACAGCAGCAAACAGGCATAGATGAGGAATTTACTAGGAGAAAAGTAAAACGATTAAAGAGGATTCACTTTTATAAATATGTGATAATGAATTGGGGAGTAGTAACAGCAGAATTTTTCAGCACATGAAATGAGGCACTAATTCAATTATTTATTGAAAAGTTCTATGTAGTAACGCTGTGTTAGGGATAAGAGAAACATCCGTTCCCTGTTCCCTGCTTTCCAGGGCTGCCTGGTAGGAGGGTGTCCACACAGAAACATAATTACAATAGAGCCTGTTATGTGCTGGAATGGTGCTACGGCGGAGGGAGACGGGAAGCCTGAAGAGGAAATAATACAGGTTCTGTGTGAGGGCGCTGGGAAGCAGGGAGCTGACGACCCTGGAGCTGGTTCCAGAGGGTACACGGGAAGCTGCCAGACTGGAAAGGACATGAGGTGAGGAAGCATTCCAAGCAGAAGGAACTAGCCATACCGTGACATTGGGGCAGAAAAAGGCTGACATGTCCAAGATATGGTTAAGTTCTGTCTATGACTAATTATTTGATTCTGTTTTTATAAAGGCAGCAGCTGCCATGTTCAAATACAGTCACATTCTGGTACATGTATTATACTTTTCATGACTGAATAAATCACTCCCTTTCGCTCTTTCTTTCTCTCTCTCTCTCTCTCATACTTCACATAAAAAAGGGACTTTCTGAAGACGATGTTCACATTAATTAGAAATTACACTGCTGAGGACATCTATTACCAGCTTTGATGCAGTAAGAGGAATGGGGTTTTCTCCTTCCCATCTTAAACAAGAAACAGCAAAATATATGAACTACTTCTCAGACATTAGGCAACAGGCAGCGAAGAACCATGATGGCAGAAAGAAAGAAAACGAAGGAAGTAAACTCTATTTACCGCAGCTTACTGCCTGGGAGCTGCAGGAGTTTCCAGGCTGCAGCAAGAAGGTAGCTAAAACCCAACTTACTGACAATAACAGTAAATGTAAATGTTCTAAATACCAATTAAAAGACAAAGACTGTCATATTGGATAAAAAAAAGCAAGACAACTATATACTATCTATAAGAAATCCTCTTTACCCAGAAAAATCAGAGATTAAAAGTAAAAGGGCAGAGAAAGCCATGCAAACACTGACCAAAAGAAAGTTGGAGTGGCTATATTAATATCTGTTAGTCTTCTATGGCTGCTGTTAACAAATTACCACAAACTCTGCAGCTTAAAACAATAGAAACTTATTATCTCACAGTTATGTACCTCAGAAGTCCAGACAGGCTTGGTTGCTTTCTCTGCTCAGAGTCTCATAAAGCTGAAATCAAGATGTCAGTTGGCTGGGATTTTATCAGTGACTCTGGGAAGAATCTGCTTCTAGATTCATTCAGGTTGTTGGCAATCTGTTTCTTGTGGTTGGAGAACTGAGCTCCCAGTTTTCTTTCTGGGCTGTCAGCTGGGGGTTGCCCTTAGATCCTAAAGGTCTCTGATCCCTGCACAAAGCCCTTTACATCTCAAAGCCAGTAACAGCACGTTGAATCTTTCTCACCCTTGGGAGTTCTTCTGACTTCTTCTGCCATACTGCTCCTGCTCCAGAGAAAGTTCTCTAGTTTTAAGAGCTCGTGTGCTTAGACTGGGTCCACCTGGATAACACAGGATACTTTTCCTAGTTTAAAGTCCGTAACTGTGGTAGGCAGAATTCTAAAGATGTTCCCAAAGATTTCTGTCCTCTGGTTATTCCAGTGAAACATTAACCCAGGTACGACCATGAAAGGACTTTGTAGATGGAATTAAGGTTACTAACCAACTGAGGGTTAAAATTGGGAATGATCCGGGTGAGTCCAATGTAATCACATGATCCTTTAAAAGCAGACGAGGAAGGCAGATGAGTAAGAGGGATGTGACCAAAGAGGAGAGATGAGGCAGAGGGGGTGAAGTCAGAGACATTCCAAACCTGAAGACTCAACAACCTGCCTTTGCTGGCTCTGACTATGGAGGAAGGGAGCCATGAGCCAAGAAATGCAGGCAAACTCCAGAAGTTGACAATGACTCCTGGTTGACAGCCATCAAGGAAATGGGGTCCTTAACCCGACGACCACAAGGAACTCAATTCTGACAACAATCTGCATGAGTTTGGAAGCGAATTAATCCCTAGAGCCCCCAGAAAGGAATTCAGTCAGGCCAACACCTTGACTTTGGCCTTATGAGACTCTAAGCAGAAGATTCAACTGAGCCATGCTGTTCCTGCGTCTCTGACCTACTGCACTATGAGAAAATAAGTCTGTGTAGTTTTAAGACACTAAATCTGTGGGAATTTGTCACGGAAGCAATAGAGACTAATACTGTAACCTTAAATACATCTGTAAAGTCCCCTTTACCATGAAACACAACATATTCACAGGTTCTAGGGATTAGGGCCTTGATATTTTGGGGGGTCCATTCTCCCTACCACAATAAAAGGTGTATTTTTGAACAAGGATTATTACCTGGAACAAATAGGGGGAATTCATAATGATAAAGGGGTTAATCTGTCAAAGAGGATCTAACAACTCAAAATATTTGTGTACCTAATAACAAAGCTTCAAAATACATGTAGGAAATATTAGTCTTTAAAATATTAAGGAGAAATAGAAAAATCAACAATTCTTATTGGAAATTAACATTTCTCTCTCAGGAACTGACAGAACACATAGAAAATTACTAAGGCTATACAGAATTATAATAACACTATCAACCAACATAACCTAACTGATAATGATAAAGCATTCTTCCCAACAAAAGCAGAATACAAATTCCTTTCAAGCGCACGTGGAACATTCACCAAGACAGACTGGATTCTGGGCCATGACACAAGCCTCAATAAATTTAAAAGGATTGAAATCTCATGAAGTGAATCTCTAAGCACAATGAGATTAAACTAAAAATCAACAAAACATATCTAAAAAACTCTAAACATTTGCAAATTAAACAATACTCTTGTAAGGAATTCATAGGTAGCAGAAAAATAAGCCACAGGAACAATTTGAAAAATTCTGGACTAAATGAAAGTAACAAAACAGCACACAAAAATTTGTGAGATATAGCCAAAACACTGCTTTTGGGAAATTTATAGCATCAAATGCTTACATTAGAGAAGCTCTGAAGTCAATGACCTAAGATTCATCTTAAGAAACCAGGAAGAGAAGGAAATTTTTTGAAAAGTAAACAGAAGAAAGGAAATGATACCTTATAAGCATGGAGAAATTAATGAAAAACAGTAGAGAGACACGAGGGAAAAATCAATGGAAGTAAAATCTGGTTCTCTGAAAAGATCAAGAAAATTAGTAAACCTATATATAACCAGAGTGAACAGGAAAAAAAATAGTTGACACAAATTATATTAGGAATGCAAGCAGGGACTTCACTACAAATCCTAAAAACACTACAGGGATTATGAACAACTTTACACAAATAAATTTCTTGAAAGACAGACATTACCAAAGCTCACTCAAGAAGAAATACATACTTTCATATCTCTATACCTACTTAAGAAACTGAAATTGTAGTTAAAATCCTTCTCACAAAGAAAATGTCAGGCCCTGACAAAAATCTACCAAATACATAAGGAAGACATAGCACCAATTTTCACAAACTCTGGCAGAAAAAGATGAGGGGAGAAAATCCCGATCTATTTTACGAGGCCAGCATTGTCCTGATATGAAAACCTGACCAAGAAAAAATATATAAATCAATATCCTTCATGACACAGATGCAAAAAACTCTAAGAAAAATAACCAAATTGAATCTAGCAATATATAAAAAGAATATTACATTAAGGCCAACTGTAATTAAACTAGGATTGCAAGCTTGGCTTAACATTTGAAATCAACTAAAATAACCCACTGTATTAATAGAATGAAAAAGAAAAACCATAACAGTATCTCAATAGTTCCAGAAAAAGCATTTGACATAACACAACCCCAGTGAAAATCCCAGCAGGCTCTTTTGTAGAAACTGTAAAACCTATATGAAAATGCAAAGGACCTGGAATGGGCAAAACAATTGTGACAAAAAATAAAGTTGGAGAACCTACGTTACATGCTTTTAAGGCTTACTTATAAACCTACAATAATCAAGATAATGTGGTATTTTTAGCACAAGGAGACACACAGAGAACAGAATGTAGTTCAAAGACAGATCCATCCAAGCACGGTCAGTTAATTTTTGATAAATGTGCCAAGGCAATTCAATCAAGATTGTGTTCCAACAAATGGTGCTACAACAACTGGATAGATGGGAAAATGCACCTAAACGTAACCTCACTGCATATACAAAAATTTACATGAAGTGGATCACAGACCTAGATGTTATTGCCAAAACTACAGAACATCTAGAAAGCACAGGGGAAAAAATGCTTGTCACCCAGGGTTTGTCAAAGATTTCCTAGATAGGATACAAAATTGGACCTCCTCAAAATTGAAAACTCTTCCTCTCTGAACGACACAATTTAAAAAATGAAAAGCCAAGCCACGAAAAGAGAGAACATATTCTGAAAACATATATCTGACAAAGTACCTGTATCCACTACGTATAAAGGACTTTTATAACTAAAAAATAAGAAATGATCCAATTTAAAATGGCAAAAGAAACCCCAGGCACTTCATCAAATAAGTTGTACAAGAGGCAAACAAGCACATGAAAAGATACTCCATATTTTCAGACATTAAGAAAATGCAAATTAAAACAATACTGAGGTAAAACTACATACCCTGATGGCTAAAATTAACATGATCAACTACAACAATTGTGGCTAAGGATATGGAAGAACTGGAACCCCCATATATTGCTGGTGGGAATGCAAAAGAGTACAGTCACTTTATAAAACACTTCACTTTGGCACTTTCTTACAAAGTTTAGTATATACTTACTCCACGGCCCAGCAACTACATGCCTAGGTATTTACTCAAGAAAAAAGGAAAATGTATGTATACGTACAAAGATTTGTATTTCAATGTTCGATGCATGTTTATTTATAATAGCCACTGGAAACAACCCAAATGTCCATAAACTGGTGAATGGTTAAGATCCATGTGGTATATCCATTCAATAGAATACTAATCAGCAGTAAAAAGGAACAAACTAGGTATGCATATAACAACAAGGATGAACTTCAAATAACACTATACTAAGTAAAAGAACTCAGACTGAAAACACAACATACTATACGATTCCATTTATTTGACATTCCGGAAAAGGCAGAAGTATAGATACAGAAAACAGATCAGTGTGGTTACCAGTGGCTGTGCTGGGGGAAAGCTTACTACAAAGGGACACATGGGAGTTTTTTTGATTGACTGACCTGTTCTATATCTGTATCTTTGGGTGGTAGTTACACAAGGATATAGATTCATGAAAACTCATAGGACTGCACACTAAAACAGGCTAAATTTTACTGTATGTAAAATATACTTCAACAAACCTGGTATATCTATTGATCTATCTATACATACACACAACCATATCAACAGCTAATATTTACTGGATGTTTTCGGCATGCCAGGTACCATGCTGTTTCTCATGCATTATCTCACATAAGTCTCACAGCAACCCCATGAAAGAGGCACTTTCATGATTCCCATTTTACAGATGAGGAGTAAAGGCTTACTTGCTAAATAATTTGTCCAAGCAGCCAGCAGCTCACAGAGTTGGAATTCAAACTAAGAACTATTTGGCTCCAAAGTCCTTTTTATTGAGTACCATACAATACTGACTATACTGATAATTTAACACTCTTGGAAAACCATATGGATAGATATACACTGAGAATTAACAGTGATGTCCAGCAGGGAAGATTAAGGAAAGTCTTTACACCCTTTTGCTTATGACTGAATTCTTTTGCAAGATGCATGAGCTGCTTTTTTATTATAGGAAACAACGTAAGAAACTTCAATTGGAAAAAAGGGGGGAGGTTGTAAGGAGATGGGAACTACAAAATTCAACTCAGACGCCAACTTCCAAGTGGGAAGATTATCAGATTTGGAGAGGCTGCTAACTAGAAAAAATATATATACATATTTATATAGTCTTTTTGTGTCATAATATTACCATCTATAAAATCAGGGTAATATGTACCACATAAGGTGGCTGTGAATATAAGATAATGAATTTAAAAAAGTGTTTTGTGTAAAGCACTAAATTAGTGGTTCTCAAAATTTTTTGTAGGACTCCTTTTCTCTCTGAAAAATTACTGAGGACTCCAAAGAGCTTTGTTTTTATGGGTTATACCTATTGTTATTTACTGTATCAAATTTTAAAACTTATTTTTAAAATACTTTTAATTCATTAAAAATAATAAACACTATATATTAACCTAATTTTAATTTAAAAACTGCTTTCCAATATTGTTTTTAGTTTTGCAAATTTTTTAACTGTCTGACTTCATAGAAGACACCTCAGTACAATATCTGTACCTGCATTCATTCTGTTGTAATCAATGTTGTTTTGGTTCAAGCATATGAAGAAAATCTGGCCTTACAGAGATATGTAGTTAGAAAAGAAAAACAGGAGTATTTTAATAGCTTTTACAGACAATGGTGGATATTCTTCTTTGATAGGACACCAACACTCAACAAGTGGTAGCTTCTTGAAGGTTAACTAT